CCAAATAGTTCAAAATAACGCTTCTAATTTTACTCAGAATTTCTAATGTAAAGAAACATTTGATCTCGTAACAGTAACGGAGCACTTTGGAGATTTCAATACGAGTTGAATAAAAGAGCGTGGCTTTCAGTATAAGCAAAACAAAAATAGCCCGAGCTCTCTGTCGTTTACCTGCAATGAGAATTCTTGCACATGGGAGACTTTGACATGATCCAGTCTTAGCAAATCTATTATGAAGTCTAAGATAAATATATATATGAAAATGCCAGCCCTGTAGGTATGGTCGAGAAGCTTTATGGGAGATTTGAGCTCGATTAAATGTTGGAAAAACGTGAGAAGCATAATATAGTGAAAAGTTTACTTGTTAGCGTTTTTAACTTTCCTCAGCGATTGTAAGATTTGATTCGTAAAATGAATATTAATTTATCACCACTATCAATGTGAATGCACAGATTTTTCTGACCTATTCAAAAGCTGAAATTTCATGCTTCTATGCAATTTTCTCGTTTTTTTCGCGATGAAGATTTAGAAATGTATCAGGCGCGACAAAACATTTCTTTTCCCGGGAGAAGGCATAGCCGAGAGATGCATATCTATAGTCCACTAAATGGAGCTCGAAAAACAATCACAAGTACTTTTTATCGAATTGTGCACTGTACAAGAGAGAGGGAGAAATTATTAACTAAATTTTGACTCGAAAAAATCAATGAATGCAATCGTTTTCGGAAATATTCTTTCGTTTGATATACGATAATTATCTATCGAATCATTATTTATTTTAATATATATCTGTCGCTCTTCCACATATATCTTCTTTCTCGCTGTAGATTTGTTTTACATTATGGATCCTCCACAACAGCTTTCTTAGTATGGAATAAAAACGATGGCCAGTGTTCAAAGCAGGAAGGGAACTAGTTATCTCTCACGGATATTTCTCTTACATACTTGTTTATTGTCTCTGATTAATTACAATTGTCAACTCATGCTACTTTTTATACAAACTAATTTAGGTTTTCTCAATTATCATTTATACAACCAAGCTTGATTTTTTTACATTTATTTGCGACGTATCAATTAACAAGTACAAACAATTATTATTTTTTTATTCTATATATTTCATCTACTCGATCATTTCCCGTCACTTTTTACTCTACAAACTATCTCAACATGTCTTCTCCACCATTTTCATCTTCACGGTTTCCTTTATACGATCAAACTTCAAGCTATTTCAACTCGGAATTATCTATTAATGGTTCATACCCTTATTATTCTTATCCGTATCAATCTTATACGTCAATGTACTCCTCTTATCCAAAATCGACATATGATAACTCATTGAAATCATCGTCGTCGTGTCTTTACAGCAAGGTCCCTGAAGAGACTTGTGATTATTTCAAACCATTTTCCCTTGGTAATCAGACCCTTTACAACCAAGTAAGCAAAAACATTTTCCTATGTAGAACGGGAATTAATGGAAGACGACTGAGAAATCTGCTTGATTTGACTTATAGAATCAGAATACTGGCGTAATGGCTGTATTTACTAACAAAATTCCATTCGTTTTGCTTCTGCTACTAGTCATTAAAGTTGAATTCAGCTTTTCCATCAGTATCTTAGTATATAAACAAGTCAGTATTTGCTGAGATCGAATATAACATACGTATGTTAGACCCAATCTATGCCATCTATTTGAGAAAGAAAGAATGGATTAACGGAGGTACGTTCAGGTAATTGAAAGAAGTGTGAATCTGAGCACAATCTTGACCAGCAAAGCGGTTCACAGGCAGTAATATTCTTTTGTTTTCGTTTTATGTAGAATTGGTATATCAGTACACCAGCGGCGTCACCAACACCATCCACAAATTCGTTGTCATTTGCTTCAGCTGATTCAGCCGTTCAATCCCGGCCTTCGCCACAACCATCATCATCTTCAGTTCGTTCATTTCGATCTCGTTTCCAATATACAGCTGATCAACTTTATAAGTTGAATCAAATTTATGAACAAACACAGTATCCAAATGCGGCACAGAAAGACATTATTGCTTCAACACTTGGTGTTACATTAGAACAGATTCGTGTATGGTTTCAAAATCGTCGACGAAAACAACCTCAGCAGCGTCATACAAAATTATCGTCGCATCAACCAACATATCATGAACAAAGTGAATTAGACCAATTGATATTTCAAATTGATAATGTTAGAAATACACGGCAACGTTTACCAGCTAAAGTTAAAATAGAAACAGAAGTGAAATGAACGATAGATAATTCAATTTGTTCACCATTTTTGTAGAGTTTTTTGTGTTGATATTGTTGGAATTAACAGTGCGTTATATAACTTTGTCTCTATTATCTTAGTATGCTTCTTTATCATGTGATTAATACCGGTACGTTTAGCCGATACTTAGTCAATAACCGGCCCTGTCACAGAAATGTTTACCTGAAACATGTGGTCCGTGTTGGTGGTTAACATGCCATAAGCATAAGAACTTTTTTCTGATTTTCAGTAAAACGTGAAACCAATCTGGAAAATGTTTGGATAGCCTGAAGATTCTTCTATCAGTTGAAGTGTATACCGCCATTTTATGAGAACTCGATAATTGGGTTTCTGGAAAACCTCACCGCTTAAAAATCTTTGGTTTTTACGCAAAAATTTTGCCAACCAGATGGAATGACAGAGCAAAGAATTCTGAGTAACATATGATATGTTCCGGCTGTCATGACGCTTTTTGGTTGGAATATTTGGGTAATTTCCACTGCCTTTGAGCCATTCGTTACTCGTGAAAAAACGTTATAGACAGTAGGGAGATATCATATTTTGCTCAGGATTCTTTGCTCTATCATGCCATATGGCTCGCAAAATTTTTGAGTAAAAACAAAAGACTTGGTTTTTTAGCAGTGAGGTTTTTCAGAAACCCTATCAAGTTTTCTCGTAAAATGGCGATATACACTTCAACTGATAGAAAAATCTTCGGACTATCCAAAACAGTTTTCAGATTGGTTTCAGGTTGTACTAACAATCAAAAACAAAGGAGTTCTTATGATTATGACACACGTCTACTGCATACATAACACTCAAAAGCTTCTTTTGCATATCTTTGATGACTGGCGTCACCTATCTAGATTTTCTGACTAGCCCAGTTGGTAGAGAATTTCACGGGCTATTCAACGGCATCCTTTTGAAAAATATTTAGTTTTTGATTAGGACAGAAAAGACTTCTAAATCAGTATGGTGTAGCTGTTTTCCGTAGTCCAACGCGTTTTTTGCATGTCTTTGGCAGCTGGCCTAATCAGTCAAGATATTCTGACTAGCTCGGTTTGTAGAGAATTTCAAGGGCTTTCCAGTGGTATATTTTTGAAAAATGTAGAATGTGTCATTATGACAGAAAAAATGACTAAAGGAGTGTGCTGCACGTGTTTTTCGTAGGACAGCGCTTTCTTTTACATGTCTTTGGTGACTTGGCCAAGTAGTCGAGAGATGCTAACTAATTGGTTCAGTTTTTAGAGACTTTCAAGGGCTATCCAAATATATATAAACTGAGATGCAACCTGACTTTTAAGTACATAAAAGAATTAAAATTTTGTGAATCTGCATCCTATTAATTATGTGAGCAAATAAAAGTTTGGTCTACCATTTTTAACAAATAGCAGCGAAGATATGATTTGGGTGCCTTTCAATTCAGTTTTTCATCGTCTATCTAGCAATGATCGAATGAATCTTATCTATTGTTTTAGCCAAGAGAAATAATTAAATTACTAGTTAGATGGGAGAGGAAGACGATGATAGTGGAAAAAAACTTTTTTTTCGCCCTTTTTTTATGTTTTTCGCTCGGGAATGATAGAGAATAATAGAAACGTGGCTTTTTTAATGAATTCGGTCATTGGAAGTGGAAAAATACGAATAGGCCGATCCTCGCTCAAATGCACCCCCGTCCTTTATTTTCAATCTTTCCCAGTGACTTCAGATTTCTGTCCGAATCTTGGTCAAGGCAAGTGTCCAATATTTTTCTTTGAACAGGTGTTTTGATTTCGTAATCAGATATTTAAAGGACAATTTTTATGCTAAGAGAAGGAATCTGATGTTAAGTCTTCAAAAATGGTGGATTTCAAGAGAATATTTTAAAAAAATTCCCGTGCTTTCAGGTTACCGTATGAGTTGGAGAATCTCTACACAGACTTGCATTAATTGCTAGGTGAAAACTATCCCGAATATATTGCTTTGGTTACTAAGACTTGTAAATGCAATTAGCTTCTGCCGCGACTTTGTTGTAAAATGTATATCTAAAATATCAGAGGTCAGGCTGTTTCACAACATACGAGAAATTTTCTTCTTACATCGTTTTATCTGATATTTTATTCTAGCAATATATTTTGCATTGATGAAAGAAAAACTAGTGAATTCAAGTGATAGGTCTTCATATCGTTTCAATAAAATGGACGATGATTTTTATCAGTTCTAGATATATTGCTGATAGACTAAAATTCTTGAATTGTCTTTTAGCTTGTGAAAAAGTAATTTAAATGCTACCATTTTCGCGCTTAAACAATTTTGAAAGAGTTAAACTTTAGAACAAATAAATATTGGCCGAGGCGCCAATAGGAAATACTTTTAAAAATCTCTAAATAAAGTATTAACTAAAACATTTTGTCGAATAAACATGGTATTTCTTTGTATCTCATTTAAACTATAGTTCGAACATGGAGAAACGGAAAACACTCAATTTACGATCCAAAAAAACAATATTATCTTCTTCTCCTCAAACACCACCAACTCGTAGTATTAGTGACAGCGATATTAGTGAATTTGATGAAAAAGAACCACTGAACAATCGTGTTTGCCGCCGTGACCATACATCAAAGAGACTCCAACAGCGAACACCAAGTAATGCACCATCTACAGCGATGCGAAATAATAGTACTGCACGTTGTCCGCAACATTATAATGAAAATGATAATGAAAATATTCCAGCGATAAATCAAGGGTTATGTGTTAATAATCACAACAGTCATAGTGCTCATCGTGGTAGTGATTTTTTAGAACTAAATCAAAATGAATTTTATGATAGACAAAAATCAAACCACCTTTATCAATACCAACAACGAAAGCAACAGAGAAGAGGACGCCATGGCAGTGGTGGTGAAGTGAATAATAATGATCAACATCGTTTGAGTTTAATACCACTACCACTCATTGATATTATGATAATTTTATTTAGATTAACTGTTTTAATTTTAGCGTTAGCTATTATCGGTTATTGTTGTTATTTCGTGTTTAAATTTTTAAAACCAAAACCAAGACAAACATTCTGGGAGAGAACATTTACATCTGTTACTGATTGGCTACAAGGAGAATAAGATAATAAGTGAACATATTCAAACTGTTTTAAGTATTGGTTTAGCTATCTTGCTCGTAACTGTGTAGGTTAAGTGTTCCAGTAATAGACAAAATGTCCATCGTCTTCGTTTTCCAGATAATATTTCTCACCTGTAGAGAAATTTCACTGGTATTCCCAGTGTGCACACTAACTGCATACTCAGATGATAGGATCAATTTAAGGGACCCCCTCTTTTTTCACCTTGTTGCCGAATGCAGAGCACCCGTCCGATTGAGCTCAAATTTATACCAGAGGTAGACCAGCGAAAAAGAAAACTACTATATTTTTGCTCAGAATTTTGTGACATGACCTTCTATGGATTTTCTGGAGACCCCGATTCCATCCAGCCACATTATGACCCGTCGAAAAAAATGGTCCGATCGAGTCGAAATTTCCACCACAGATACTTCAGACCCTATCTCAGGTTCTAAACTTTTTTTTCGGACCATTTTTCGATGCGTCGTAATGTGGCTGGGTGAAAATCGTGGTCTCCAGAAAACGCATAGTAGATCACATCACAAAATTCTGAGCAAACATATAACGATTTTCTTTTTCGCTGTTCTATCTCTGGTATAAATTTGAGCTCAATCGGACGTGCGCTGCGCATTTGGCAACAAGGTGGAAAAAAAGGTGGGGGTACTCTTAATTCTAGTCAAAGAGAATCAATAAAAGAGCTTAGGTAAGCATATCAGTTTGAATGTTCAGATGAATTCTTTTATGGTTTTGTGAACTCTCTGCAAGTTCATTCTTATCACAAAAACGTGCAAGGTCTTTTGAAAACTTATCATAAAGAAATCTTATAAAATTTTATGTGGAATCAAGGAGACCGATTCATATGAGATCTTCTATGGACTAGTGAACTCTTGTAACATGGTCTTATAAAATGATATCAGATCTTGCAAAAATATCTAACAAGGTTCGTCGACCTGTGACTCTTACTGGACTGCAGCTCCGGCCCCAATTATTATACTGGAAGCCACACTCTTTTATTCAACTCGTATTGAAATCTCCAAAGTACTCCGTTACTGTTACGAGATCAAATGTTTCTTTACATTAGAAATTTTGAGTAACATTAGAAGCGTTATTTTGAACTATTTGA